GAAAACTCAATTCTCTTTACTGGCCTGCACCAAACCAACTATCATCTGAGCAGCTGTGAGACAGTGGGATGGTCAGTCATAGTGAAGGACCAAAGAACAGGAGGCCAGGACATGGACCTCCATAAGGGACCTCCTAGAGGGAAGGCCAAAGGCTCAAGCCCCAAGGTGGCACCTGGGAGCAAGCCCTGGCTCTGGCCTCAGTGCTGACCAGTGATGGACAGAGGCCAGGATTGTTGCTTGACAATCTGCAGTCACAAAATGGTTTTCATAGCAGAGGATTATTGGACTGAAAATGTCAATGGCACTGTGGTTGAGAACCCTGAGATAGAACCCTTGCCTTCTAACAAACACTTGAAAAAATGAATTCAATGTGGTCTAAACCCTGACATACAGTATACCTCCTCCTCATGATTTTCCCCACAGAGAAGGAAGAGAAGTGATACATTTTAGATGTTTCCATTTTATACTCCTTGTAACCTAGTACAGCCCTGGGGATGAAAACTGAATTTGTTGGTATGTCCATGCCAAAGTTGTCCAGAGAGTGTTCATTGAGCACAGCACCCTGTGCCCATGTGTTTCTAGTCTATTTTGGTGATGTGGTTAATTTTATGTGTCAACTTGGCTAGACTCCAGTGCCCAGATATTTGATCAAGCATTATTCTAGATGTTTCTGAGAGGGTGTTTTTGGATGAGATTTGCACTGAAATTAGTAGACTGTGAGTAAAGCAGATTGCTCTAGATAATGTGTGTGGGCCTCATCCAATCAGTTGAAGGCCTGAATAGCTCAAAAGACTAATCTTCCCTGAGCAAGAAGGAATTCTGCCAACAGACAGATGGCCTTGGGACTTGAATTATAGCATCAGCTCCTAATGGATCTTCAAATTATAGACTTGCCAGTCTCTGTAATCACTTAAACCGATTCCTTTAAATCAATCTTGTATTCGTCTGCTCAGGTTAACTACAACACCATAAAATGGGTGATTTTAAAACAGAAATGTATTTTTCACAGTTATGGAGGCTTGGAAGTCTAGGATTAAAGTGCGAGAAAATTCATTTTTTAGTGAGGGCCACCTTCTTTCTGATAGATGGGCACCTTCTCATTGTGTCAGAAAGACACACACACACACATACACACACACACAGAGGGGTGGGGGAAGGGAGGGAGGGAGGGAGGGAGGGAGGGAGGGAGAGAGAGAGAGAGAGAGAGAGAGAGCGAGCGAGAGGGAGAGAAACATCAGTGTGAGAGAGACACATAGATTGGTTGCCTCCTACATATGGCCCAACCAGGTCCTGAGATCTGAGATTGAACCTGCAACCCAAGAACATGCCCTTGACTAGGAATCCAAACTGTGACTCTTCAGTGCATAGGCTGATGCTCTAGCCTAGGGGTGTCGAACTCAATCAGAGAAGGGGCCAAAATATAAAATCCAGCCTAAATCGTGGGCCAAATGGTTTACTGAACAGTCATAAACTGTCATTGTGATGGAAACGCAGCGGAGTGCAGTGATGACAACGCGGTGCGGGCCACATTGCAAGGCCTGGCGGGACGGATTTGGCCCGCGGGCCTTGTGTTTGACACATGTGCTCTAGCCACTAATCAATACTGGCCAGGGCAAAAAGAGCAAGTTTAATGGAAATTAGAAAATACCTAAATAGATATATCACATTCATGGACGACTTAATAGTATTAAAAGATGGCAATTCCCTTGATTTGGTATGCAATCCAAATCAAAATCCCATCATATTTTTTGGTTAGAAATTGACAAGAAGATGCTAAAACTTATATAATAATGCAAAGGATCTAGAGTAACCAAAACAATCCTTAAAATAACAAAGTTGGAGGATTACCTGATTTCAAGACATTATAAAGCTACAGTAATCAAGATAGTGTTGTCTTAGCACATAGACAGAGAGGCCAGGAAATTCAAAGGGGAAGCAGATAGTCTAGAACAATGGAATCTCTCTATGGAAAACCATGAACTTCAACCTTACCTCATACCATGTATAAAAATTAACTCGAAATGTATCCTAACAGATACCTGATTCTTAAAACAGGATTCCCGATCCTTCCTCGCCAGTTTCCATATTCCATTGTCCTAGTTGCAGAGAATGATTGAGCTCATTCTTGATCCTCTTTCTTTACCTCAGGTTCATTCTTCCTAGTTCTATCCATTCTTCCTCCAACTCTTCTACCATCTTCAATCTAATGCAAGCCACCATTTTCTCCACCCTGGATAACTGCTAGGGCCTGAAATGACTCCCAACTTCCTCTCCTTCCTGGCCAGGCCAGTCTCCACCCAGCAGCCATGAGAATTTCCTGATTAAAGCCCTTCAACTAAGCCCTGGTTGGTTTAGCTCAGTGGAAAGAGCATTGGCCTTTGGACAGAAGGGTCCTAGGTTTAATTCTGGCCAAAGGCACATGCCTTGAGTTGTGGGCTCAGGAGGCAGCCGATCAATGATTCTCTCTCATTATTAATGGTTCTCTCTAAAATCAATAAAAGAAAAAAAGAAAAAGCAAAAAGCCCTGCAACTGCTTCCCACTGTGCTCCAGAGAAAGCTAAAGATCCTTACCACAGCCCACAAGGACATCAGCCGTGCAGCCACATGGCCATCATCTATTCCCCACACCCTTTTCCTCCTCAGAGCAAATTCTGTTTCCCCTACCTAATGTCCTCCTCTTTGCTCTTGTTCATCTTTTGGGTCTTGGCATAAATACCTCTTCCTCAGAGAGTTCTAGCTGACTCCTTAGTCCCAGGAAGGTCCCATGTTATGACCTCATCACACCTTAGGCTTTTCTTCCATTGCACTTAAGATTTTCCTATCAAGGCTTAAGGGGGTGGGGGCGCACTCCTGTGCCTTTCCCTTCCCCATCTTCTTTTATCAGAGACCTTTCTCCCAAGTGCCAAGGACCCCTCTTCTGCCCTGTAACTTGTTTTAAGCCTATGAAGCTCAGTGGCTCACTTCCACTACTCTGTAACTTTTAAAAAATGTTTTTATTGATTTTTAGAGAGAGGGGAAAAGAGGAACATCCTCCTATACACACTTAACAGAGGATTAAACCCACAACTTGGGTATGCACCAACCTTTGTGCTTGGGACGATGCTAAACCAACTGAGCCACACCAGCCAGGGCACCTCTGTAACTTTCTAAGTAAACTTTCTCTTATAAAAAAAAAAAAAAAAAAAGTATTTTCTCTGATGTATTAGTTTCATCGATATGGGAGGCAGTTAACTGAACTCACAGACTGCTCCATGGCAGGAACCTTGCCTTCTCACTGCATTACTGCAGGCCTATGATCTGTTCAGTGTGCTCAACATGTTGAGGACCCTTAAGAAATATTACTTAAATGAATGAGAGAGATCAAGGTTCAGAGCCCACTTTTCCATTTTCTGTGCATTACTCAACATTATGAGCTAAGGTTTAGAGAACTTTCAGGTGGCCTGCTTGTCATGGATTCCTCATAACCAGCCTATCGAGGTGGGCATGATTTCCATTTACAGGTGAAATGTAAATGAGTCCCATAAACTTTCCTGGCATCCACAGCTACTAACAACAATGGAATCATGTTTTAAATCCAGGTCTTTCAAGTGACTCAACTTGGGCTTGGAAAGACTCAATGAGTTAATGTACACTCAATAGGCAGTTAGTCTATATTATTATTTCAATTAAAAAAAAGTAGTATTGCCGAAACCAGTTTGGCTCAGTGGATAGAGAGTTGGCCTGCGGACTGGAGGGTCCCAGGTTCGATTTTGGTCAGGGGGGCATGCAGGAGATGGCTGATTGATGTTTCTCTCTCCCATCCTCTCTGTAAAAAGTCAATGAAATATATTAAAATAAAATAAAAAGTAGTATTTAGTATGCGGCACCACACTAGATGCTAGGTATTCACTAGTGAGTAAAATAAACATCTTTGCCACTTAATAAGTTCCATTTAAGCTGAGGACAGGGAGACAGAAAATGTAAAGAGGGTACCCAAGAAATATGAAGAGAAAAGCAGTGACAAAAAAGGAGAGGCCTGAGGTGGTGAGTGAACGGACACCTGAAAAATGAGGAAGGGCAGGCCTGAGAGGCGCAAGGGTAGGGACAATCACAGGCTGTGGAACCTGACCTTGGGGGACCTCGCTTAGGTGAGGGACTAACGGAGGAGGGCCCTGGAGATCCTTCCAGAGCCGAGAGGCGCCTGGGGGTCTGTGCCTTCACACTCTCCCTCAGGTTTTGACTCAAATGTCTTCTTCGCAGCAGGGCCTTCCCTGATTGCTCTATATACATAAAATCTACATGTCTCGCCACGTCTCCATCTCAACATGACGTGTTTTACTTACTTCTCTTGCCTCTTGCCTGCCTCCCCTATTAGACCGTGAGCGCCACGGCGGCTGAGATTTTTTTTTTTGTCTGTTCCGTGCTGTGTTCCGCCTGGAACATAGTAGCAGGTCAATGAACACTTGCTAAACTAATTAATAGCAACAGCAAGGCTTAGCAGAAAAGGCAGCCACGGCCGAGTTCCCCTCGGACCCACCGAACAGGCCCCACCCTCCTCCGACCAGGGATGAAAGCGACTCCCAGCCTACGCTAGGCCGACTCTGCTCAACTTCAGTCCAGCCTGACGCACGGCCTCGGGTCCTCACGAGTCTCAGGGCCCCTGGCCAGCCATTTTCCACAGACCCCACCACCTCCCGCCCCATCCCCCAACCTCCTGCCGCCGCCGCCGCCGCCGTCACGACCGCCGCAGTGGCGTCAGCTCTGCGCACGCTCCGCGGCGTGGGTACGCGCGGCGTCGGAAGGCGAAGACCCCTGCGCGTTGGCGCAGGACCTTCCCCGACTGAGGTGGGAGGAGCGTCGGGCTCTGGTGCAGTTCCCGGCCCCGCCTACCTTCCAGGGCTCGGGGAACGCGCATGCGCGCTGGGAGCGGAAGAGCGGGCGGGCGCGCGCTCTAGGCCGGGCGGACGGCGGAAGCGGGAGAAGCCTTTCCGTGAGGGGGGGGGGCGGTCAGGGGAGTCGGCGAGTGCGCGCGCCGCGGGGGCGCGGGTGGCGTGTGTGCGGGGGCAGGGGGAGGCCAAGGCGGGCGGGCGCGCGCACGAGGTTTAACCTCGCTTGGTGGCGGCGGCGGCTTCTTTGTTTCTTGAGGAGAGGCGAGACGCCCACTCAGTCCCCGGCAAAGCGCAGAGGGGCGGGGGCGACGCCGAGAAGGCGACGGTGCAGGCGGCTCCCGGTAAGGAACGCGGGCCGCGGGGGAACGGCACGGGGTTGGGAGGACGGTTTGAATGGAGTCGGGGCGCCGAGGGGGGTTGGGGGGGGGATGCTGGCTCTCAAGAGCCGGGCCGGGGTACGGCGGCGCCCGAGGGTCAAGAAGCCCGGCCGGCACCGCGCGCGCGAGGAAAGCTACTGTGTAGCGAGGTCGCGGCGGCTATGAGATCCGCGGGCCGGCGGGGTGGGGGCCGGTGCCGCGTGGAGGCCGCGCGCCACTCGCGCGCGTTCTCGCCGGATTCGTCGGACAAAGCTTGCCGCCCCCTCGGCGGGCCAGGGTTCCGGCCGCGATCGCGGTCTCCGTGGCGGCTGCAACAAAAGCGAGGCGTCGGGGATTTTCTGACTGTGTTATAACGGGTCCGACCCCAATGTTGCCTTTTTGGCGAGGTTACTGTCGCGGCTCAGTAGGAAAAACTCCTAATGTGTGCGGTGTCGCCTGGACACGAGCATTTGCAGCCTCCTTGGGTTAGATGACCTAATATTTTACTTTAAAAATCACATATTCTAGATCTTTAAAGGGAAGGTAAATAACTCGCCCCATCCCTTGCAAGTAGGAACTTTAAAATGTTTGTCCTGTGTGGAGGGGTGGGGTTGGTAGCAAGCGGGGTACGAATGGGAGAATTGTTTGCTGTTGAAAGTATTGTTTTTACATCCTTTTCCTTTCTACCAGTTGATTTTCCAGGTTAAGGTTTTTATTTAAAACCTGGACCTTTCAGGAGAATGTTTTGTGACAGTCTTGGAGACACTGGTTTTGATCCCTCTCTTCCTTCTCCGCCCCCCAGTAAATCCTTGGGAAGGTAGGAGATAAGTGTAAGAGCCACTTCCCAGGAATTTGAAACAAGTTTTCCGTTTGAATTGACATACCAGATTACTGTATGATTCTTGGCACTTGCTTGGTCACTTAGCTGTGTGACATTAAGCAGATAGTTTAATCTCTCTGAACCTCTTAGTTTCCTCCTTTGTGAAATGAGAATAATGTTACAAATGGAGCTGGGTGAAAGCCTGTAAAATGGTTCCTGGCAAGTGGAAGCCCTGTTACTGTCTGGTCCAATCTGCTTCTTTATTGTTCAGCAACTCCCCGGGTCCCTACTGTGTTTCAGATGGTTGGGAGGACCCTCTCTGATCTTTAGGATGACAGGTGGTTAATGTGGGAACAACTCCCCTGGCCTATCATTTAATCCTCCCAACTCTTTCTGTGAGAGGAAAGCAGTGGATGCCCAGGGAGTGGTGAGCCAGAGATCAGGAAGGTGTGGGGAACAGAGGGTTTTTACTCGGAATCCCGGGAGGATGTCCAGTCTTGTATTTTGACTGCCCTGTAACAGTCATTGTTCCCTCTGCTACAGTGGCACATTGCCTCAATTTGTAATTACACATCCATATTCAGAGGACCATGGGAGCTGGGGGTTGTCTCTCACAGCACTCTGGGCCTGGCACATGGGAGGCCCTCGTGAACATCTGTGTAATGAATGAAGGGCTCTTGGTTGGATTGAGTGAACGTATGTGTGAAGTTCTTGGCACAGGACCAGAGTGGTTGTAAGCAATCAACATTAGTTGCTGTTGAGTTTTAACTTTCAAGGCCATCGTTTCCCAAACTTCATTCTCCTGGGAAGGAGAACATAGGATGGTAGTGTGGGATGCTGGTGAGGAATGCTGGTTCTGGAATCAGACCTCCTGGTTTCACACCCAGCTCGCTAAATCTTTATTTTATTTTATTTAATATGTTTTTATTGATTTTAGGGAGAGAGGTAATGGGGAGAGAGAAACATGGATGTGAGAGAGAAACATTGATCAGTTGCCTCTGGTATGCACTCCCAACTGGGGATCAAACCTGCACACTGGACATGTTCCCTGATGGGGAATCGAACCAGTGACCTTTCTGTGCATAGGACAATGCTTAATATGGACCAGAGCCCAGCTCTCTGATTCTTAATTAGACCTCAAGCAAAGCACTTACCAGTGGGTTTCCCCATTTGTGAAACAAGTATGACAAAATGGTGATTGAGGGGGTATCTACTTAACACATTGAAGTGCTTGGCATATATGAGTGGTTATATATATTTTACTAACTTGCTTTAAAATCAGTACATACATAATTGTGAGAATAACAGTTCTCCTTGTACCACCTAAAATAATTTTGATCTTGCAGGTTTTGGAGTCAGGGCTGAGGGATGACATCAGAACTGTGACATTATCAGTACATGGTCTCTAGTCTTTGTCTTTGAAAAGCAAACATACACATTTTTATTTGCACCCTTTACCACTCCTTGTGGACTCTCAAAATAATGGGAGGCAATCCTAGAGCAGATGGGGGAGGGCGGGAAGAATTATGTATTTCGGCCGGGACTGGTTTGGCTCAATGGATAGAGCGTCAGCTTGCGGACTAAAGAGTCCCGGGTTCGATTCCGGTCAAGGGCATGTGCCTTGGTTGCGGGTACATCCCCGGTAGGGGATGTGCAAGAGGCAGCTGATCGATGACTCTCTCTCATTGATGTTTCTAACTCTCTATCTCTCTCCCTTCCTCTCTGTACAAAAATCAATAAAATATATTTAAAAAAAAAAATTATGTATCTTGGGCAAATGTCTGGTGAGAACAACATTCTGCTGACAAAGAAACACATCCGTGGGTGCTTCTTCACCACGGGCTCTCCAGTCAACCACCCTGAGTTTGACTTCTGGTTTTGCCCCTTTCCTTGGTGCCTCAGAAAAATGGAAGTGACAGTGCCTGACACATAGTAACTCCTCAGATGTGCCAGCTGATTTTGGCCTCGGGTCATCATTCCTTGCCTGCCATGTACAGAGGGACCCATTTACATTAACAAGACTGTACACAATGCTTATAGCGCCCCCTGGAGTTGTGCAAGAAAGTGGCTCAAGAGGGACTCATTCACACCGGCCACAAACAGAGCACAGTGTGAATGGGAGTTGTGCAAGAAGTGACCCAACCACTCATTCCCCATTCATATAGCAAACAAATGTGTATTGAGTGTCTGCCATGAGCCAGGCACTGCTGGGAGCTGGTGATTCAGCCAGGAGCAGGCAGACAAGGACCCTGTTCTGATTTGCTTATATCTGTCGTCTTATTTGCCAAGGTGGGTAGTAATAGTACCCGACTTGTCAGATTGCTGTAAGGACTAAACAACAACAAAAAATGACAAATGCAAGTTGCTTACAAAGGTGCCTGGTGCATAGAGCTAAACATTTGGTAGCTGTTGTCATTAGGTTTCCTACAACATCTTGGTGGGTACAGAATATATTTTTGCCAAATTGTAGTCATTCTGTATGATTCAAGATGGTAATGAAAAATGGACTCGTCCATTTTTCCTTAATACTTAAAAATTTTATGCTTTCCAATTTCACCATAAGGCATTGGAAAGCAGGAAGCATGTTTGGTGGCATCTCTTTTGAAAAATAGCAAACATTTATTGTTAATTTCATTTACTGTTAATTAAAATGATTGAAAATTATAATTTTCTTACAATTGTAACATTGATTGGAACACTTCAGAGAAAATTGAAGGTTTTTTTTTTTTAAATTAGAGTTAAAGGGACATGGAAAACCTATTATAAAAGGGAAGCAACAGCTGCTGGAATATGGGGGGGATGTGTCCAAGTGGAAACATGTCAGAATCGAGTTTGAAGCCAAATGGAGAGCTGCCATTGCTGTTGACCTTACACATAGAATCTTAAAGAAGTATAAGCCTCATGAATATGACCAGTGATATCTTGATTGGAATTTTCTGTTAGTTACATGCTGCTGCTATTAATTTTTCAGGATATGGATTTGGTGAGCATGAGAAATTAAATTTGGCCTGTACTCATCTTCCTATATGGCTAGGGAAGGAAAGCACCAGGTGTAGCTGGGTTTATGGGGAGGTCAGATTTCACAGGGCAGAGAAAAAGGACGGGATGCATCGATTTCCCCTTAATTCTCTCAGGGCAGGAGCTTTCTTTAGAAACCAGGTACATGTTAGCTAGAATAAACCTGCTCTGACCCTTTCCTGGCCTTTGCAACCCCAAGTGGTTTCCAGAGCTTCACTTTGGGACTGGTTTACTTCGCTAAAGGAACATGTCTTCGTTTTTGCACATGGACACTTGTCACTGGGAACAGTCTGAGTTTTGCTCTGTGAGGTTCACCAGCCATGAGTGTGGTAAAGGAAGGTTGACTCTGTTTTTAGTAGCTGTGGCCTTTAAAATAAAATGATTCTTTGGGCTGGTTTAAGTTCTCCTTTAACTGGCAGGTCACGCCCCGCTGGCTCAGGATGCAGGTGGCCACATGGCAGTTGCTGCTTCACCTGTTACAGTGGGAGACTTGAGGTGGCGGGTGTGATGTGTGTCACCCTAACTTGCCCTATAAGTGCCAGTAAAGTGACACAGTGTATGGTCTCACTGTCCTGAAGCACAGCAAGCCGCTTGCTATATCCTGGGAGCTGCTAATGGCCCTGGTGACTGCCAAGTGTTGTTTCCGATCACAGCCTGGACTGATGGTGTACTGAGTACCCTTGCTTGACTCCACAGAACACCTCCTGTGTGCTCCTGCCTGAGGAGGGCTTCTCTTGGCTATACTCCACATCCTTTCAGGCTCTCTTTCTCCTATACCTTCTGATCGTCCCCTGAATCAGTTATTCAGACCTTGCAGTCACACAGACTTAAGGACTCTACTCCCTGCAGGACTTTTTTAAAAAAAATGTTTTTATTGATTTTTAGAGAGAGAGAGAAACATCAATGATGAGAGAGAATCATCGATCAACTGCTTCCTGTACACCTACAGAGGGTTAAGCCTGAAACCGGGCATATGCCCTGACGGGGAATCGAACTGTGACCGCCTGGTTTATAGATGGATGCTCAACCACTGAACCACACTGGCTGGGCTCCCTGCATGACTTTGGGCAAATGATTTAACCTCTCTGAGCATATAATCCTCTGTTCCTACCTAAGTCTTTTCAATCATCAGTGCTGAACCGAGGGGATGCAAGTTGGGGCTGAAATCCATCCTGGCTGGGCTTTGCCAGATTTTTCTCCAGAGCTAGGCAGTCCCAACTAATGGCATGTGCTAGCTGAGGCCCTCTTAGTCACCTTGACTCTCACCCTATCTGTTCCATCAGCATGTCCAGAGAAATCTTTTAAAAGTGTCACCAAATTGTATCATTGCCCTGTCCAGAACCTTGTAGTGATTTTACAAATCTACCTGGAGTAGACCCCTTACCTCGTCCATTGCCCTCAAAGCTTGTGATCTGCCCTCCCCACCAATCTCTGACCTCATCTGCCACAACCCCATCACCTGCTCCACTCTAACAAAGTCCTACCCCAGGGTCTTTGCACTTGCTAGTCCCTCTGTTCATAGATAGCCATGTGGATCCTATTTCACTTCAGGTTTCTGCTGAAATATGTCCCCATTACTGAGACCATCTCTGGCCACTATGATTGAAAGAGCACCTGCCGTCAGCTTGAGTGCTAACTCTGCTTGATTATTATTATTATTATTTTCCAGAGAGGAAGGAAGAGGGATAGAGAGTTAGAAACATTGATGAGAGAGAAACATCAATCAGCTGCCTCCTGCACACTTCCCACTGGGTATGTGCCTGCAACCAAGGTACATGCCCTTGACTGGAATTGACCCTGGGACCCTTGAGTCCTCAGACCAATGGTCTATCTACTGAGCCAAACTGGCCAGGGCTTGATTATTTTTTTCATGACACTTCGACCCCCTACTTGACGTGTCATATTATTTGTGTGTTTGTTTCTGTCACTCATTTATCAGTCCCACCAGACAGGGACTGTTTCTGCTGGATGCTCAGTGCCTAGAACCTTGCTTTACTCAGAGTCAGTTGATATTTGGGGTGGCTGGGAGGGTCTGTCCCAAGTGATACTTAGCAGGTATAGGTGCCATGCCTCCTTGTACTTTATCAGCTCCTTTCTTGGGGAAGTTCCCTTTAGCCCTCTCCAGGGATCATGTCTTGCTCAGTGTTGAGTATATAGCAGGCCATAACAGACTCTGCAGTGAGTCATGACATCCATCCAGGGTTGACTAGGTTGGACAAGAGCAGGGTCAGGAAAGATTTGTAAAGCTTGTTGCAATTACTTGGTGTATGTTTGTGTTGGGCCAAGTCATGACTCTGGGTCATGGTCAAAACACATCTAATGGTTAATAGGATAGTGTTTGTGTTCTTGACGTAAAGGCACTATATCTCACTGACAGATTAGAGTGTGAACTCTCAGGGCAGAAAACCAACCTAGTTGTCATGTCTTCTGGCATGTTGTATTTGGGGAAGTGATCTTTAGGGTTGTCAAGTGAATGAAAAAACTTTTCAAATGGGCAATGAATAAAATGATACATAATTCCCAGTGCTAAAAATAATACTTGGACCCTGGCCAGTGTGGCTCAGTTGGTTGGAGTTTCATCCTGTCCTGTATATGGGAACGTGGCGGGTTTGATTCTAGGTCAGGACACATACCCAAGTTGCAGATTCCATCCCTGGTCCAGGTGCACGTGGAAGGCAACAGATTGATGTTTCTTTCTCTCCCTCCATCCCTTCCTCTCTCTCTCTAAAATCAGTGGAAACATATCCTCACGTGAGGATTAAAAAAAAATAGCCTGGCCTGTGTGGCTTAGTGTTTGAGCCATGACCTATGAACCAGGAGATGTTGGTTTGATTCTCAGGGCATGTGCCTGGGTTGTGGGCTTGATCCCCAGTAAAGGGCATGCAGAAGGCAACTGTTCCTTGATACTCTCTCTCTCTCCCTTCCTCTCTGAAATCAATAAAAAAATATTTAAAAATAATAATAATAATACTTGGTAACAATTCAGCATGCTTACCTTTTAGGTAGAATTGAGAAGCCATTGTAATTGGTTGTGACATGACTTTTCCTTTCTAAAATTTATTCCTTTTTAAATGCAGGGCAAGGTTTTGCTATTTAATTATATTGCAAGGAAAGTTCTGTTGGACACAGTGATGGGGAAGTACAGTCCAGGAATAAGCCATTTCCACAAGGTCCCTAAGTTTACAGATGCCTGCTCCTTAACAGCCTTCCAGGTTCATTTACTAAAGCACTGCACACCGTCAGGACAAGTGCGGAGGGTTTTGCTTAATAGATTTATTAGGAGGGAAACGTTTTGTAATTTGAATGTAAGGCATGGGCTTGTTTTGCCTAGCCAGCATTGCTGGGTATGAACACCCTGCTATGATTTGACTGTAATGTTGAATCTGCTGATGACACGTGTCTGTAAACAAATTTCTCCACACACCCCTAAAATCAGCAAATATTCTGGGCCAATCTGAAAGACAAAGCTGTTTTTTCTGGCAAGATGAAAAAACATACACCATAATTCCAGCAAGCAGATATCAGAGGGTCCAGATTGCTTGTTAGCAGCTTGTCCTGCTACAGAGACTGGCCACCAGTGTACTTAAAAAATAAATAAATATTTTATTGATTTTTTTAAGAGAGAGGGATAGAGAGTTAGAAACATTGATGAGAGAGAAACATCTATCAGCTGCCTCCTGCACACCCCCTACTGGGGATGTGCCCGCAACCAAGGTATATGCCCTTGACCTGAATTGAACCTGGGACCTTTCAGTCCGAAGACCAGTGCTCTGTCCACTGAGCCAAACCGGTTTCGGCAATCAGTGTACTTTTTATAAGACAAAAAGCAAGGGTGTTAGGAAAGAAGAAACTAGACTGATCCTCCAGCACTCCTGTTTCACATTTGATGGCCAGAGATATTTTATTTTAAATGATAATTTTGATGAAGTTGAAAGAAGATGGAAAATGATGCAGTTTAAATCCTTTCATCTTTCTCTTTTATTTCCACAAAGGCACTTCCTGGGCCTCTCTTCTGGGAGGATTTTTGGGAAGAAAACCTGAGTATTTTTCCTTAAAAACGGCTCTGTTGGTAGGAGGGTCCTCTCATGCTCTGAAAGGTTGCTAGCTCCATTTCTTGGTCAGGACACATACCCGTGTTATGGGCTTGATCCCTGGTGAGGGGCATGCAGGAGGCAGCCAATTTGTTTATCACTCTCACATCCATGTTCCTCTCTTTTCCTCTCCCTTCCTCTCTCTAAAATAATCAATAAAAAATAATTAAAACATTTCTAAAAATCTGGTTATGGAAGTAATAGATGATTAGTATAAACAAACACACACACACAAAGAAAAAACGCACCATAAATCTCTGATGTGGAAAATGTGAAGTTTCCCATCATACACATCCAGAGAAAGCTGCTTGTTGCTGCTGATAGTTTGGTGTATGTTGGCTTCTATGCATGGATTAACATGCAACTATAGTACAATACATGTTAAACAATGTTGCAAATCAACGCAGAACTTTTACTCCTTCAAAACTTAACTACAGTACAGCTCAATGGTTGAGCATTGACCTGTGAACTAGGAGGTCATGTTTGATTCCTGGTCAGGGCACATGCCTGGATTTCAGGCTTGATCCCCAGTGTGGCATGTGCAGAAGGCAGCCGATCAAGGATTCTCTCTCATCGATGTTACTTTTTTTTTTTTTTCATCAATACAAAAGTTTATTTAACAAAAGTTCAATGTGAAAATGGACAGGACTCTATATTGTAGGAAAACGGGTGCTGTGGAGAGGGGATATGTGGAAACAATTGATTTCTCTGGTAACTACAGCCATTCTTCATACTCGTTCCAAGGCTTCTAACATGATGATACTATTTCCTCGGATTACCACCATTCCGATATTGTTCTGTTGCCCACCTGTTGCCATCTCCACACATTCATCTATCACAAGATTCATAAAGGGATCAAATCCCCGTAATATTCCTTGGACATGTCTGCCACCATTTAATTTCAATGATAACTTCTTGTCCATAAATTTTTTTAACTCGGGAGGGTGAGCTTTGCTCATGGTGTCCAAGCGAGCTCACAGACACTTTCAAACGGAATTCGCGGCCTCTCTCTCTCATCGATGTTTCTATCCCTCTCCACCTCTCCCATCCTTTCTGAAATAAAGATATTTTTAAAAATGACAAAAACTACTTAACTATTTTTTAAAAATATATATTTCTTTATTGGTTTCAGAGAGGAAGGGGAAGGGATAGAGAGATAGAAACATCAATGATGAGAGAGAATCATTGATTGGCTGCCTCCTGCACACCCCCTATTGGGCATGTGCCCCTGGTTGGAATTGAACCTGGGACCCTTCAGTCTGCAGGCCCATGCTCTATCCCACATGTGTCAAACACAAGGCCCGCGGGCCAAGTCCGTCCCGCCAGGCCTTGCAATGTGGCCCTCACCGCGCTGTCATCACTGCACTCCGCTGCGTTTCCATCACAATGACAGTTTATACTGTTCAGTAAACCATTTGGCCCGCGATTTAGGCTGGATTTTAGATTTTGGCCCCTTCTCTGATTGAGTTCGACACCCCTACTCTATCCATTGAGCCAAACTGGCTAGGGCTACTTAACTATTAAAAAAATTAAAATATATATGTATGTATGTATTTTATTGATTTTTTACAGAGAGGAAGGGAGAGGGAGATAGAGCCAGAAACATCAATCAACTCCTCCTGCTCACCCCCCACTGGGGATGTGCCAGAAACCAAAGTACATGCCCTTGACCGGAATTGAACCTGGGACCCTTGAGTCTGCAGGCTGACACTCTATCCACTGAGGCAAACCGGTTAGGGCACTACTTAACTATTAATAGCTTACTGTTGACTGGAAGCCTTACTAATAATATAAGCACTTGATTAACACATATGTTGCATATTATATATATTATAGTAAGACTAGTGGCCCGGTGCATGAATTCATACACATTGAAAGTAAATTAATGAGAAGAAATAGTTTAATATTGCTATTCGCCCTTTCTCCAATAGAATTGTCGACCAAATTCACAATTGACAATGACAGATTGAAATATACCTGTGATTGGCGCCAGTGAGAGCTTTACATATTTCATGCATGTACAAGTCAACTTAGCCTTTTATATATATACAATAGAAGGAACTTGCTGAAATAGACCTGCTTTCTGATTTAGCTAAACTTTTCCAGCCCAGTGAAGCACCCCGACTTCTCTTTCAGGTAATTGTCAGCAATAGAGCAGTAAATATCAACATGAAGCAGATAATTATTGTAGACCATGCAGGGAGAACAAAGGGTGAAATATTTAACTGCAACAGTGTTTGACTATATTCTGCGCAGTGAGAAAACCTGAAGTAATTTTCAAGGTCTACCATTTACTGCTTTTCAGTTGGATCAAGTTTCTAAGCTTTCTAAATCTCCGTTTTCTGGTTAATGAAAATAAAATATTGTAGGATTCCATTGAGTCTCCTATCTACCTACACCAGGACTTCTGTGAGGATCAAATGAGATGAGGTATGGGAAAACACTTTACAGACATTTGATTATAGTGTAAAATGTTTGCACTTGGCTATAAAGCAAGTCATGTTCCTGGGCTAAAGAAACTGCAGGGAGGCTAGTTGTTAGAGAGAGGAAGCTGGGTATTGCTATGTGATATCATTACCCAGATGGACACTTAGCATATTAGCCATATATATATATATGTATGTATATATATATATATATATATATATATATATATATATATATATATATAAAGTAAATGTTAAGAAAATCATAAGAGAAAAAAACATATTTCTATATATATATATATTTATTTTTTAGATTTTATTGATTTTTCACAGAGAGGAAGAGAGAAGGATAGAGAGTTAGAAACTTCGATGAGAGAGAATCATCAATCAGCTGCCTCTTGCACACCCCCTACTGGTGATGTGCCTGCAACCAAGGTACATGCCCTTGATCGGAATCGAACCCGAGACCTTTCAATCCGCAGGCCGACGCTCTATCCACTGAGCCAAACCGGTCCCGGCTTTAATATATTTTATTGATTTTTACAGAGAGGAAGGGAGAAGGATAGAGAGTTAGAAACATCGATGAGAGAGAAACATCGATCAGCTGCCTCCTGCATGCCCCCTACTGGGGATGTGCCCCCAACCAAGATACATGCCCTTGACCAGAATCGAACCTGGGACCCTTCACTCTGTAGGCTGATGCTCTATCCATTGAGCCAAACCGGTTAGGGCATCCCCTGCTTCATTTTGGATGATCCTCTGGGTCCATTTGCACAGAGCCCCCTTATTCACTTTTAATGGTGCCACTAACATCTGCAGCATGGATTGTGTGGGGTCCTGACTGGCATTTTGGATGCTTTTCAGAGAAATAGAGGAGAGGTAACATGGCCAAGTCACTTCCAGATCCTGTGTCCAGGGTTCTAGAGCAAGCATGTCAAACTCACAGCGCACAATGAATATTTTTGTGGCCTAGCCAATATATTGTATGCAAGAAATGTGTTTTTTTATTTGTTTGTTTTTTAATAAATATTTTATGATTTTCTACAGAGAGGAAGAGAGAGGGATAGAGAGTTAGAAACATCGATGAGAGAGAATCATGGATCAGCTGCCTCTTGCACACCCCCTACTGGGGATGTGCCGGCAACCAAGGTACATGCCCTTGACCGGAATCGAACCCGGGACCTTTCAGTCCGCAGGCCGATGCTCTATCCACTGAGCCAAACCAGTTTCGGCTGCAAGAAATGTTTTAATAAAAACTTTGTGACTTAACTTTTACAATATCCTGTTATACATAATTATTAATAATGAACCACAATGTTCACTAATGACTGATTACTGTAATCGTGTTGCACTCATTCCCCTTACACGCCTTACACGCAGGCGCACCATCCCCAGTAATACTAGCAGCGAATATTTTAGTAACCGATTGCCACGTCATTAGTCTTGTACTGACTTGTTTGGTGTGCGCAACAGGAAATATTTTGCTTTCGAAGAACAGGAAAAATAGGTTTATTTGCATTATGGTTATTAATTTATGTCTGGTAAATTAAGGTTCAAGAAAATATATTAATTTTTATTAAAATGTTCTATTTTATGTTAACGATTGCTCATTAATTTCAGCCCTTTGTATTTACCATGTCTCTTGAAATAAACCTACATTTCTATGAAAATTGAAGCTTTTGCTTTTTTTGTGGCCCACATAAACTTAAACATTGTTTATTTGGTCAATGTTAACCTTTGAGTTTGACATGCTTGATCTAGAGCCTGTTTTCATCTTGTGGCCTCCTGAATATCTTAGTATTCAGCTTTTCTATTCTTACCGGAAGTAGTTTTATTTCCTGTCACATTTCATCAGATTGCCCATTGGATTCCCAACCTCTGTTCCCTTCTGTGGAACCCCAAATGCACCTAATCCATGGCCCAGACACATCTCTATTAGGCTTTCAGATACACCAGGCTAGCAATTTCACCATTTTTAGTCCTCCATCCCCTTGTCCTTTGTTTTGTCTCTCTGCTTAGGTAGAACTGTTTGGATGGATTTCACTGTGTGTGAAGTTGCCCTTACTTTCCCAACCTAGACATCAAGTGACTTGTCCGAGAGGGATTTGTTGCAGGAGTCCATGGCAGCACCATGGAAGCTACCTGGAACCCACCAGGCCTTAGGACGACCTTGGGGGACCAAGACATTTGCTGGAAAAGCCAACTCTTTAGTTTCTGATGTAGAAAAGGCAGGGGTGTTTGGTGGTAAGGCAGAAAGAATGGGGAAGAGGGATGTCAGATCTCACCTGGTTAATCCTGTCTTGCCTCCTGAGTAGGCATCTCATTGGAGTGTAGTGATACCCCTTCCTCCACCTTCTTCAGCCCTCAGCAGTGCCAGGCGCACTCCTGCCCTTCAGTTGGCTAGCTAAAAGGAACTTGATAATGAATGGCTAAGCAAATTGCTTTTGTGGCATTGATGACCAAGAGGCAAGAGAGAGTTCGCAGCAGCCCAAATCCTGCCCATTGATTGCAAGGCTGGACCTTGTTTGCTCTGGGCTATACTGATCTTTAAGCAGCTTCTGCTTCTTGAGGGGAGAAGCAAGCATATTTGTCCTGAGTGCTGAAGGATGGGAACATTGACAAAGTTTGTCCTGCAGCGAAGCTAAAGTTAGGAAGCAAGTTCTCTAGAGTGGTTACTTACTATGTGGCTAGTTTACTTATCTCTGTAGGGGAGAGGAGGGTGGAAGTGCTTAATCTGTATGACATTTCTAGGACAGTAGTGACACGCATTGCTCAGTAGATGTTAGGACCTTGATTTCACCAGATGTGTGGGGGCACTTCCTGCCTTATATGCTTTGCACATGTTAGCTCATTCGATGCTGGTTGTGACCCCTGAGGGACATCTCTGCTTGAGCCTACAGAAGAGGAACCGGGCCCAGAGAAGTTAAGTCACTTACCTACATGGTGCAGTTAGTAGGTGACAGAGTCCACACTCAGAGTCTGAGTTGCGCTGTGAGCTTGGCCTTGTTTCTCCATCTTCTCCACTGACCTGATGTGTGACTTCTGAACCTCAGGGACACCTCTGTCAGTGAGACCAATAATAGCCCTTTTGTATAGTGTGGTGGTATGACTCAGTGAATAAATCCAGGTCCTTATCACCAAATGGGCCCAAGCTCTGCCTCTCTCTGGCTGGGTCTTCCTTCCTGTGATTTATTTGTGACTGATACATCCTCAACAGTTGTAAATTACAGGGACAGGGACAAGTCACAGTCCCCTTGGATATTAAAATATCTCTTTCCATTCTCTATCCCATGACTGTGAGGTAGTACAGGAAAACCTGTTTCCTCAGATCACATTTCTGACATCAAATGTGGGTTTTCCATACCAAGCAATTTTCTGCAAGTTTCTGCTGTCACTAACGGTCCTACAGTTCAGTTCTGGCACTAACTGAATTACTGCATACCCCACAGATGAATGGTTCAGTCCCACAGGACTGCCCCCCAATTCTGATGCCTTCTTTGCAAGTAGTGGGTCCTTACACTACCCACACTTCTGCCCAACTAAGCTACAAATCAGGGTTTCTCAGAATTCCCTCCTAAGTTTTAAA